TTAAATTTGTGAATAGTTTGTTTCTCCGAGGTCATATCAATGACATTCTCAGAAGAAGCCACGCAGTTGAGCCCAAAAGCATGTCAAGAAAGTTTTTCTGATCAGTAGTTTTGAATCAGAGTCACTGTGAGGTCATCCGAAGATCATTTCAAAGTCACATCAAAAAGTCTAGTAGTCGAGTTCATATGCGTGTTACTTAGGTATTCGCGGTCGTGGGGTCAAAATAAGAGATCAGATTAGTTAGGAAGGCATTTGAAGGAAATTTTAAGGCCAGTCAAAGGACGTATTCGCGAAGGTTGACCTGCCATAGTATGCAGCATATTTGGTGGAGCTCCTCAATAGCTTGCAAAGGATAGCAAAGACTGACATTGTATTTTATCTGGCAGTACTTCAAGGCCTATAAACACTATTTATTCTACTTGGGGTAATGAGCAGAACCCTATTAAAAAACTCTCCCAATAATAATGGTATGAGGAGGTAAGCTAAAAGTATCAATCAGTTCAATTCACGGTGTACAAGAAAACAAAATTAATGACAAATTTCTATTACTCCAAATGAAAGTGCGTACCCGAATGCTCAAACGCCTTTAATACGCAACACAATGGATGATGCAGAAGATTTCCAATTTTGTCGATAGTAACTAGAGTTGAATAATACACCACGAACTTCAAGTTTGATTATCGGCCATCGTAAAGGTAAGCAAAGCAAAGTTCTGACTCCATGGCCAAGATATTGTTGAGGTATTAATTATAAGATAGGTAATTTACTCAGCTTTTTGACTTGGTTTTTTCAATTTTTATCAGATTCTCGCATAGGCCACTGTGCGTCGGCTTCTTTGACACAGTTTATTGGCAATCTCCAAAACATGAGCGACGTAATTTTTTATGTTATCTTATTTTTTCGCAACAGCTTTTTATGCCTTCTGGTATCCAAACGACAGCTTTTCGCCATTCTTGGACGCAGGCCAGAAATCATCTGGCAGTTACTTAACCAAGTTATGTATTATGTCCACAGCGGGCAACTGATTTATCTTTTGATATATGACGATGGAAAAAGTGTCTTCTGTTCGGGAGCGACATGCTGAACATAAATTGGCCATCGCGAAATTTCTTTCTTGTGACTAAATCTTATTACGTAAAGTGCGATTTTCGCTGTTGCATTTTAATGCATTATTCATCGTTGCGTTGCGTTGGTGGCCTGCATATCAGTGGCTGACGACAGCATTCTGGAAAGCGATAGGGACAATTTAATAACATAATGGTTATATTTTCTCATTTCCCTTCCTTATTTGTTGAAAGTATTATTTCACCAAAGAGTAGTTATAGCAAGAGAAGACAGTGAGGCAAGGTGAACAGATTAGAAAGAGATAGGAGATGGCATCTAAACCTTATTTGATCAGAGATAAATGCGTTGTTGCCAGATTGATAATCCTTTTTGGATGAATTTATTATACATCATCCGTAGTGGAACAATTTTGTTTGGACATTCATTGTGCGTATATTTACTATTTGCAGCATATGAAATACATTTTTCATATAATAAATCGATAAGTCATAGTTTTTACGAGAGATCTCCGTTATGTAAAAAGATGTTATTCTCAAAATTTGTTAGTTATCACACAGCTATTTAACTTTTAGGGTCCTACGTGGCGTATTACACGATTTAGTTCAGTTACAAAAGAGGAATATCATCGTGAAACTCAAATTTTGTCTAACCTGCAAACAGCTTGGCTTTAAGATGGCATGTTTACTTATTTCCTATGATTTTTTGACGTAATCGTCAAAAACCGTGGAATCAACTGAACTCCATTTATCTCAGTATAAATGTAGCGTTTTATAAACATTTTTGTCGGGCTGGCAACATCGTCCCTATAAACATGCAGATCCTTGACAGAATATCGAGCCATCTATAAGCCAATAGTCGAACGGTTCGTTCGTAGATCTCTTTTTTGTAAACCAGTAGATAACAATCCAAGATCCGCCCGCAAAGCTTTGGCTACATTATGTACTGATATGATATTTTAAAAACTGGCCAAATCTTACGTATTTTGATACTAAAGAGCAAATTTGACAAGTTTTCTGTTTAGCATCAAAATACGTAAGATTTGACTCGTCAATTTGTGATCTGCTCCCCTACCATGATGCAGAAGAAACCCAAGGTCAACGGAGCCCACCGGCGAAGATATTCGAAGAACTGCCTTGATATAACTACTCTTTGACTTTACATTGATCGTGTTTAGCCAATGTAAACAGGTACATCGGAGCAGCGCTTTTATGCTGAATAGCTACTGCTATATCGCTGGACGGTCACAGGTTGAATGGGACGTTGGCTGGCCGGCTTCACGATGACTGTAGAGATTTGGGTACCAGCCACGACATCATGAGTATTCAGATAAAACCATGTCTTTAAGCTACCTCACGTATCAGTTAGTAGCTGCAAACATTTTTACGTCTCTCCGTATTGTGGTCCAGACCTGATGCTGAAGGAATGGAGAGAAAATCATATATATACAGGGTTATCCAAATTAAGTGTCCACCATTAGTAACTTTGTTATTAGTGAAAATACAAAGCTGTTTGAATTAGCAAACTAGTAGCATTTTTAACGCTGGTAAAAATGAGAAATAAAAAAAACAATTGAGAGTCGTTATTTTGATTTTTTTCAGTAAAATAACATTTTTTTAAATGGAAACCCCTGTATATTATATTTTTTTCTGTTAAAGCATCAAATTTTAAACAAAAAAGTTCATAATGACTTTTCCGCTAAAGTCAAAAATAAAGTCAAAATAACGATAAATATTTTTAATTATTTGCAGTATTATAATATTAAGACGGCTATGAAAACAACATGGCGTTCGCGATTTGACAGCATTAAGATAAGCGACAAATTGTTAAACTGGACATACTCGCAACTAGAAGGCTTTGGAAAACAATGATAAAATCAAATAATGTCAAACATGTGTAAATACTTGTTTATAAGCTTTATTGTGTCATTAATTTAAAGAAAAATATTCTCCCATGAAGAAAAGTGTGATATGTTAGAATGCTATTTAGTGTGCAGAAAATCCTCCTTGAGAGCAAGATTACAGTGAATTATATCCCGCTCGCATTCAACCGTATGAACGATATTTTCTGAGACTTTATCGAAAATTTAGGGGCAACGAAAATGTTTTTGCTAAAACAAGGGCAAAAAAAGAATTCATAATAAGCGAGGCCACGGAAATTGCAGTTATTGGATATTTTGAAGCTTATCGTGAGAATTCAATAGCAGATATTCTCAAGGACTCTAATTTCAGTTATGGTACTGTTCAAAGGATTTTAAAAAAATACAAATTTATTCCGTATAAGTACCGACCAGTTCAAACGCTTTTGGCAGGGGATCCAGAGAGAAGACTTGTTTTTTGCCATTGGTATCTTAGCTTCTGTCGCCAAAATGTAAATAACTTTCGTTACCTTTTATGGACAGATGAATCAAATTTTTCAAATTCTGGAATGTTTAATAGAAAAAACCACCATTATTGGTCAAGAGAAAATCTTTTGTTAGTACATCCAAGAGGCCCACAAGTCCGTTTCAGTTTCAACGTTTGGTGCGGTATAATTGGTTCAAAAATTGTTGGCCCGTTCTTTTATGAGGGAACCCTAACTGGTGGAAGATATGTGGAATTTATGTCAGAAATTCTGACTAATTTCTTAGACGAATTGGATCTTATAAGTAGACTGCATCTGCATTTTCAGCAAGATGGCGCACCTGCCCACAACTCCAGAGGTACTTATCATTTTCTAAGTACTACTTTTAATGATCAGTGTATAGGAACAACTGGCCCAATACAGTGGCCTCCCAGATCACCAGATCTAAACCCACTTGATTACTTCTTGTGGGGTTACTTAAAGAACCAAATTTACAAGCGAAGGTACGATAACCTTGACGCGTTAAAGACTGCAGTTAGGGAAAAGATAACCCAGATAGATGGTAGGACCATACTTAAGACAGTTCGAGCAGTTGAAAAACGTGCCCAAAAATGTATTGAAGAACAAGGTGGTGTTTTCGAGCATCTTCTTTAAAAAAAATTGTTATTGTATTTTGTAAGATTATAAGTTGATGTTGAAAATAAAGTTTGTCGATACAATTTAATTGTTTCAGATTGGAGGCCATAACTTCAACAATTTGTAACCTAGGAGAAAAGTTATTGTAAGCTTTTTTGTTTAAAATTTGATGCTTTAACAGAAAAAAATACAATATACAGGGGTTTCCATTAAAAAAAATGTTATTTTACTGAAAAAAATCAAAATAACGACTCTCAATTGTTTTTTTTTATTTCTCATTTTTACCAGCGTTAAAAATGCTACTAGTTTGCTAATTCAAACAACTTTGTATTTTCACTAATAACAAAGTTACTAATGGTGGACACTTAATTTGGATAACCCTGTATAGAGAGAGAAAATATGACCGGACACACAGAATGATAGCTTGCAAGATAACTGATAAATTTACCTTAGCCGCCTAGCAGCATTAAAGATTGTATGACAAATAACCCAATAACTATTCATTCACAGTATCATACTTGGAATGCACGACGCGAATGCACCATTTATATGCCACTACTTATTTCCGTCTGACCAGCGACAGACATCTTCTGTCAAATTCCGTTAAGCGTTTTGGGCCGTAGTCCGTGAAATATATTTTAATATTTTATTTCCCGAGATAAATAGTAGCCTATGTGCTTTTATCTATGTACCAAATTTTGTCCAAATTCGTTTAGCCATTTGGGCGTGACTGAGTAACATACATTCACACTTTCTCGTTTATAACATTTGTAGAGATGTGAGAGGCACTCAACAAAGCTACTAAATTGCTTAATAAAACAAATTTGCACCGTGAAAAGTGTATTCCTAATCAGCAAAATATCATAATTCGTAATTTTCACGCTGGTCCTCTTACTACACAGTGATTTCGGTATTGTCATTGAACATGTTTGAAATCGGACTATTCACTGTTTCCAAACCACTGCACAACTGTTTCTTTTCTGGTTCACGAGAACCATTAAATATTCTGAGCCAATCTTCATTGTGATGGCGAAAATTCAAAACAAATTGGGATTGAGTCATCGATGTGTAATGTTTATCTGAAATTTAGACAAGCGAAATACGAGTTTAACTTTGTGATGGTATATTTGATGGTGTGAAGAGTCCAGGAACGTATTAGTTTGTCGGAAATAAACACATTCACAGATTTGTTCGACAAATGTCAATAGCGGTCAGAATTTTTAATCATTCCCCAGAGAACAGAACCATGCATACCTTCTCTCAGTGATTCTACTCCCTCGTTCAAGAATAAGGAACGAGATTAGACTTTTGGATTAATAAGGGTGCCAGGCAATTCCATGGTAATGTCAACATGACAGTCAAAAACTGAAGCTAACCTCACATGACTCCTTGTTCTTGCACTTTACACTGAAAAGACTGAATAACTATGTCGCCATGAGCAACGCATCCCCCCAACGGTGTCTTTGCCCAGGGATCCTCAAAGATAACATTTAATATCCTGGCTTGTAATGTCGCAGCATTTCAAATAGGGGGTTCTTTTAGAAAATTGATTGAACTTTTTCCACATATTTTATTTAAAATTCACTAAATATAGAGGAAAGGGACCAAATTTGAGACAAGCGCCTAATTTGAGACAGTCGTGTAAGTTTGTAAAAAAGTTGTGAACTAAGACGCAGTAGTAGTCTATATGTGTTTATAGTTTAGTTTTGCTTGTTACTTCTTGAGAGTTAAAAATATTTTTAATAGTGCGAAAAGTGATTACTAAAATTAAGGTAAGTTATTTAGAACAATTGTCTGATATAAATTTAGTGGTTTATAAATACCTTATTTATTTTTTTTTACAATATTGTGATTTTATATATATATATATATATATATATATATAACCTAAAGATGCCTGTGTAAACTTTTTAACGAAACATTCCTAATTTGAGATACCCAAGCTTTCCTAATTTGAGAATATCTCAAATTAGGGCACTGTATCAATATGCAGATGCCTGGAAACACAAGAGTAAGGAGATGGATTATTTAAAAGCCTCAAACGGATAGATACCTTCCCCCTCCAGTTCAAGTTCAGAATGCAGCGGAAGCCTTAAGTTGGATGATTCATCTTCAGACGAAGGCAACGTGAAAGCGATGCTGAATGTTGATTTCGTACGGGTCGATTTTCCGAAGATAAGGGTGAAAAATGGGCAAAATGTAGTAAATGGGCACATAAAGATTGTGAAGAGATTACCAATAAAATTTTCATTTGCACTTTCTGCAAAAGAAAGGGATTTTTTGAATAGTATCTCAAATTAGGGAACCAGGTGTAAATTCACAAAAAATTTTACTTTTTTTAAAATATACTTATTGTCTGTAAAAAATACATTTAATATTATTTTTTTATTTTAGAGTATGCCAGGAGCATCAAATCCCAAGTTTATTTAAAAATATACGCTCCTTTAAAACAACAAGTACCTTATTTTTTCGTTTCAAAAAAAGTATCTCAAATTTGGCTCCTTTCCTCTTCACTTATTATCATGGAAGGATCTACAGTTTCTTATATGATAAAGATATTATGTCATCGGATGTTTCATAGAACTTGAGATTATATGTCGGTCCGATTTGGTTCCACCTACTTTGAATTGTAGCGCGTAACTATTTCAATGCGACTACTCGCTGCTGTTAGTTATAACCAGCTGTGATCTAATATTTCGAACTAACCACAACCGCTGGAACCAACTGAATCATACATCAGACCTATTTTGGTTAGCCTCTTATGCACCTATCTGCTACGAGCTACAGCGACGTGATGTTGACTTAGCTGGGTTGCTGAATGTCGCTACGACTAGCTCAGCTCAGAATTACCTACTTCACTAGGCCCTAGGCTTGCGTAGTGGGTTAATTATGAAAAAAAGGAGTCAAGTAGGTTGACTTTGCACCTCCTATGCAACGCCGTCATCAGCTTAAAAAGGATTAAGTTCAGCACAAGTTAAACCCTCTAAGAAAAACTTTGTTTGTACATGTACAACAGAGAATTTAAATATTCTTTCCCTGCCCTACCGTTGACCCTTCCCAAATAGCCAGACGCGGCAGCGCCCACTGAAGCGAAGTCGCAGTACAAACAGAACAATCAAGCAGACCGTTATACTGGGTGCTGGGAATGTATAAATATACTAACACCAAAAAATTGAGATATACTCTCACACACTCCCTATAATCACCCACAGCCTAAATTGTTACCCCTAAAGGTTTTTTAAAAAATGATCGGGATCCTCTGAAACGTCAAAGACGAGGTTTGAGCAATTTTTATTTTTTTTTTTTCGTTTTTGGCCCGTTTTTCCGCTGCCCCCGCACCGACTCAAACACTAAAAATCTTTTCGTTCTTGGCATAGTAGTTACCTTGTGTACAAATTTCATCTTAGTCAGAACAGTACTTTTTAAGTTATAGCGCGTAAACCGAAAACGGGTGAGACCCTTTTTCGTGACGTATATATATACTAAGTGTGAAATTAAATAAACTTAAAACTAAAGTTCTGGCTGTGTCAAATGAAACACTCAATATGGAAGTAATAATAGATAATGTAAAATTACAACAGGTGCACTCGTTTAAATATCTGGGAGCTATATTGGAACCTAACGGCAGAAATGGAATAGAAATTTCTGAAAAGATAGGAAAGGCAAGCAACTTGTACTATGCGATGAGTAAAAATGCCTGTATGTAATACAATATATAGACCTATATTGACATATGGATGCGAATTCTAGATTATATCGCAACAACAAAAAAGTAAACTTCAGGGAGTAAAATGAAATACTTGAGATGGTGGGGACATTTGCAAATACATATAATGGGTGACAACATACCAGTGAAACAAGTTTTGGAGATTAAGGTGCTAGGAAAAAGGAGAAGGGACAGGCCACAAAGAACATGGGAGAATACCATAGAACAGATGTTGATGAAAAAAGGAACAGATTGAACAGAAGCTAATGAACATGCATTAAACTAAAAAGGATGGACTAAATTCATGTATAAGTAATAGTAGGTTTTGTAAGGTTTTGTTTAACCCTACACCCTTAAGGGTAAATGGGACTTTGACTATATATATATATATATATATATATATATATATATGTAATAATTTTAACTTTCGTTACAAATATGTTAAATCCATTTTGATGTGTTCCTCACAGACAGCTGTATGTGTTTTATACTAATTTTAACGAATGAACCATGGATCCAGCTTTCACCAGGTTACTAAATGTTTCCCTCAACTGAACCTTTAATAACATTTAGCAACAACCTCACATATTATTGTAAGTAATTAAAAATCATTTTGCACAGTAGATGCTATTTCTTCTTAATGTTATTGTAGCTCCTGATGATGATGGTATAGTCCATTGAAAGCTAGAGACTAATAAAGTATATCACTGGTTGAATTTTGTCGAAGTATCCAACTAAAGGCGGAAGCTCTATTTTTCACCTAACTGGTCTAGACGACAATGACCACGTCTCAAGTTATATATATATATATACATAATGAGTGACAAAAAAAGGTAAAAACCTACGTATGTTTATCAGAATTCAAGAATTTTTTAAATATCGACTTATGTTGCCATGAACAATAAGTGATAAAATAGGTTTTTCTGTTAAATTTTTATGGTGGCTGCCTGTATTGTTTGGTGATAAAGAAGCATTCATTTTTCGTACATTTACGGTGTCAGTTAAAAATGGTAAATTTCGTATAGCTTTTTGAGAAGTCTTTTTGTCATTGGTCAAAATGCCTAGAGTGCCGGGTGTCCCAGCTAAGTGACTTTGAGAGGGGTCGAATTGTCGGGTTGCGTGAAGCCGGTATATCGGTAAAAGAAGTTTCTAGGAGGACCAACAGATTCTTACGCAGTATACTGCAGTGTGAACGAGCGTGGGCTTAGGAAGGCCGAAGACAGCGAGCGAGGGTTCTGGACGTCCCAGAAGGACCACGGAGCGACAAAATCGCCGGTTAAGACTTGGTATGCGTTTTCTTATCGCCCACATTGGGTGCTACCTCTCACAAAAATTCTATGGGACCGGAAATGGGATCAGGTGGTCTTTAGTCACGAATACCGCTTCTGTATGGGGATGCATGATGGTCGAGCAAGAGTAAGAAGGCGACGTGGTGAAAGATGTGACCCACAATTTGACATAGAGCGTCACGTTCACCACACCATGGGAGTTATGGTATGGGGTGCTATTGCTTATGGTAGTAGATCACCACTAACTTTCATCAGAGGCAATATGACAACCCGACGCTATAATCAGGAAGTAGTGGAGCCTCATCTTATTCAATATCTAAACACCATCCAAAAGCCGATTTCTGAGCAAGACAATGCCTGATCGCATGTTGCCAGAGCATCGCTAGCCTTCACGGATCCACATCCCATCAACCGTTTACCTTGGAGAACACAATCGCCTGTCCTATCTCCAATTGAACATGTCTGGGACATGATAGGTCGCAGGCCCTTTAATTTGCAACACCCTACACAGACGCTGGCAGCTCTTACTCACGAAGTTGCAGTAGCCTGAAATGAGATACCCCAACAGGATATCGACCACCTTATCATCACGATGGCCAGGCGTGTCAATGAGTGTATAGAAAATCGTGGATCCTCAACACATTATTGAACCAGCTACTGTAGTCAGAACCTTCACAAATCACTCACACCATGAAATCCAATTAAACTAATTTGTAATTCCGGAAATCTATTTAGGAAAGCTGTGCTGAATTCATCGTAGGTAAAGTAATTGTTTTTTATCCTGATTACTGTGACATAGAATCTGAAGAAATGTCGTGTGATTGTTAGTCCCGTGGAATTGCCCAGCTGGGTAATCGCAAGGCACAGGTACAAGTTCATTCGAAGAAGGAAAGCGAATTGGTCAGAAATAGGCAGCCGGACGTTGAGCCTAAATCATATCACTTTCCTTCAATGAGCCATATACCTTTATCCGCTCATCTTCCTGTTCACATATTACGCACAAGGTTGTATTACTCATGATGAAAAATCTTCCTCAGACGAGTGTTCAGTCCCAATGTCAACAAAAAAAAACGAAGCATTAAATGGACGTAGACAGCATCTCGCTACTTCATCGATAATATGATTTTTTTTGTCGAATAGGCTGGCAGATGACTATCCTACATATTTTTAAAGACTCCATGGATGTTTCCTTTTCACATCCACAATTCACACAAATAGCACTGTTTCTAAAACTGTTCAGACTTACAGCATATTTTTCCACAGGAAATCCTTAATTTTTCGGGACGTTTACACTACATACAATGAACGTAAAGATTTCACTAAAAAGCCATTAAATGTACACATTACGCGTTACTGCAATTTCATAGCTGCTTCCGAACTGACCAAGATGTAACAGTGCCACAAAATAATGTGAAACTAATCAGAATGACATAGGAATTTGTTCCGTTTCCTTCATTCCACCTTAACCACACCATTTAAAATTTGATGTGAATGTGACATTTTCGACATACAGCTGTCTTGTTTTAATTAGAATAGTAGTGATATTATCGCAGTTGCATAATACTTAAATGTTACTTTAAAGTTATGGTGAGATATTCGTGGTCAAGCAGACAGGTAAGTTGAGTACCTACCAAAGGCCAATGGAGGAACATTTGGGATCATGCTGAATCGAGTAATAATATTTAGTGAAAAATGTAAATTATATTTGGCTAACGCGGGTGTTAAAGAGAAAATTTATCCTTATGTGGAAAAGTTTCTTTAAATAATGTATATTTGTATTTCCCTACTTTTCTCGAAAACGCGTATCTCGCTTTACAGAAGTACTCGGTTATCATTGATGGTAATAAGCAGTCTCAAAAATGTATCATAGCATGTAACACTTTCTCTCATTCTTTCACAATTATGTCCATGCTGTGCGTGAGGTCTAATAAAAAAATGTCATCCTTATTTATATGATCACATAAATATTTCTTACTATACGATTCTGATTTATACTTTACGGTATTTACAACTGTAGTAGTTTAATTGCTATGCTCAAAAACCATAAATTCGACTGTGCATATAATGATTATTTATGGTTGTTTCCACAATATCAATAGTACTGCATGTTGCCGACTAAAATCAGCAACTGCGAGATATAAATATCAAGGCTCTCCTCATAAATAGCAGAACACGAATATGAAGGGTTCCAATTGTATTTTCCAAAATTTGGGTGTTATAGTTATGTTCCTGTTGTCGAGAGGTACGGGCATGTCCTAGAGATGGCGCTGCTCAAATAAAAGGTGGCGGATGGAAAGAAGCTGATTTGACTTTGTAATTTCAGCTTCGCACAATACGTCGACTTCATTTTTTTAACCGTGATCTAGTCATAATAATGATCAAGAACAGGTTGGTATGTCTTCAACCTATGTGACAAACAGTCATCGGAGACGTTGTGTTGAAGAGGATGCAGTATTTTGAGCTCGTTTCATGATAGCCTGTTTCATATGTATAATTATGTAATGTTAGTCATATTATTTGTTTGTATTTATTACTCAAATTTATGTAAAAAGTCCTGCAAAATTGTAAACACACATTCCTTGAAAGAGAAACAGTAAGGGGATTTTTTACAAAAGTTGACGCGGGGAAAAGCTGTGCGAACTCTTAAATTCGTATAGTTTTTTCGAAACTTATTTTGAACTGTACCTACATTTGGAGCATAGATAACGGAAATGATGCCAGCGACGCAAAATTTATTATAGGGAAGACGAAATTCCCGAGATGTATCACCATCTAATAGATTTTTGTCCATCTTTATAACTTATACGAGTTGCATTTTCCCCAGGAAGCCATTTACCGATTATTCACTATAATTTGTCATGTTGAGCATGTCTTCCTACATAATATGCTTCAAATTCCAGTTCCAGGATTCACAATTACATAAAGTTAAAGTAAAATAGTGATGATCAAACCAATTTTATTTTTATTGCCCTTGATCCCTTTTTCAGGGATTGACCTTTTTGATGGATTGCGATTTCGATTCTAAGCAGGCAATATTTTCTAGCCCGGCCATACCTTTTCACATTAGAGGTTTTCCAGGACAATTCCGTTATCCATTATCAAAATAAGAGCTTCGTTAGTTACAAAAACGTACGCAGGTCGATGAACAGACGATTACCGGTTGCTTGACCTCCGTACTCAAAACCTCTATGTTATTCCCTATACTCCCCAAATAAAATATAACTACTAACTATTAGCATTTTGTTGTTAGTTTACAACTGTAGAAAGTCGGATAATTGTCCGATATAACTAAATGAGAAAAAATCATAATAAAATACTTTGTGGATCTATAAGAGCGGACAGAAACCAAATGTAAAATTAGAATGTTGCTACCAAAAGCTTTTATTTTTCACTATCTTCGATACGATGGTTGGTCAAAAATCATCAAACTAGATAATTGTCCAAAAGATCATCCCTTGATTTCCTGCCTCGTATTTAGGACACCCTGCAAACTTTTACTTGGCGCGTAGACTTGGTAAACAGATATCCACTAGTTAATTAATTTTTGTTCTCATGAATAGTGGCGGTTTAATATACATAGAAATATAAGAGATATAGTAATTACGTAGTCAGAAGTTATTATACTTCAATTTACTAATATTTGTTGGCAAAAGCACCTTAAGCCGGTACTGTAATTTACAAAAATTGCGGACGTAAAAGCAAGAAATAATGATTGATGTAAGCATTCTTAGGTGGAATTGAGAATAATGGATTTATTAAACTTTCAAATCGAGGTCACGTCTGCCTATCTTAATGCTTGATCAACAAGAAAAGCCTTACATTACGGTAATGCCGGAAGTCACGCTTTATCCACTAATTTCTATTGATATGGTATTTGTGAATTGCTGGACAAATCAATTCCATGTTCTTATGTTTGAAAGTACATCACCACTATACAAAACATCGATCACTGAAAATTGTCTCTTCTGAGACAAATGACCTTAACCGATAAAAAGCCCTTAAACCCCGATCGATTTTTGATGGATGACGCACTTTGCTATTTGTATCGCCTTGCCTGAGTTCAGATTACTGAGGACACGATCAGATACTAATCCATCCTTTTCATCATAACAGCTGAGTACAGGGAGCCAAGGTCGGTGATCGCAATTCCAAAGAACACGATGCAGAAATTAGGCACAGGGTCGCAACGCGATGACATTGGGTCTTAGTTGAAGCTGGCCAAGCAGATTAAACGAAGCTCCTCGCATAGTATCCTTCTTCTGCTTCGATGCCAAGATGGAATGATTGTAACCGAGTCCAAGGCTAAGACGGAAGTGCTCGTCTAGGTATTTGCTGCCGACTTCACTACGGACGTCTATCCCATCGTCCGTGTGGCGTTGATTCCAAGGGTTCCCCACCCCATGCTGAAAGTAAGCTCCAGGCATCGGGCGGTTAGATGGGTACCGTTATCGCCCGACATTAATAGAGCTTATGTTGATGGTTTAAATAATGCTATTGTACTGGAACGGTGTGCTACGTAACTTTTTCCAGTTCTTTCCCAGATAAGTTTAGTCATGTTTAGTCCGTGCCCAAAGATGGTCCAAAATTCTTGCAACTTCAGACCCATAGCTCTGCTTTCTGCGATCAGCAAGGTCAGCTACGTCACTCAACTGCGGAGTAAGCATAGTAAGCCATATTTTGAGGCTCATGTGGTTGGCTGTGATTGTTGCCCACGTATGCAATTTTCCATCCTATTGCCATCCAGAAAAGCTTTGCAGGGGGCTTGTCTGACTTGCACTATGGCCGCAAGATATATGTCATAATTCATGGGTTCTCCTCGTCAGCACAGGTGTTCACCAGATGTCGATCCAAGCTCTAACACTGTTTCTGATACATATCAACTCTGCAATCTGGTGACAAGCAGAATAAAGTGAAGTAGAAAATTATAGAATCAACCAAAAGCAGTAGGTCCATGTGAAGTACTAGATTGATACGGTGTCATAAGGGGATCAAGCGGATGAATACAAAGTACAATAAATACGTAAATATCAGAAGGAAGGTCTGGAACTACCTACCGGTACGTTGCGTCTTAGAAAGTCTATAAATGGAAGATCGCTAAGAAGAGCTTGCCAGTTTTGGTGATATTAGGAACTACCGCGTGAACCAACTTACTCGGTGAATCTAATCCAATCTAAGATATACATGACATCACACAGACCATCCTACCGAACAAGGAACAAACCTGGCGGCGCTCAACAGAAAGTGAGATTACCGCTGATGCGATGAACATCTCACGCGCCGTAGTGCCGCATATCGCAACCGGTCGATCTCTAAAAAAAATAATTCCGTACTCGAATCACTTTCTCCTCCGAGGATCGAACGTCGCATCGAGGAGCACGGAACGTGGATGGCTCATAAATATGCATTGTTTCGGCGTATGCGTATTATTTGTCTGTGCACAGGCCGCAATCCGCGACGCGGAGCTATTACAAATAAATCCACGAGCGAGTACTTAGGTGTGTTTGATGATAGAAATAAGCGCTGGCTCTTTATGTATCAGGGTTGCAATTCCCGAACATCCCAAAAACTTCGTGCATTTTTGAAAAAAATGCTCTCTAAGAAATGTTTCGAGTATACAAACCTGTATTCCAAATGACCTCTGAGGTCACTGTCTAGATCATACCTGAGGTCATCAGCTAACTGCTTTTCAGATATATAAAATCATAGCCTTTCTTCCAAAGCAATGCATGGTTGCGAAGTTTTCGAGGTGTTTGGGTGTTTGGTGCGTAATTGGTACGATACTTTTTGAAAATTTGCTGTTCCATGGAAATGTGATTTACGTCTACGCCCAAAATTGTATGACACCACAGCGGACAAGTGATACATATGTATAGGGGCTTCAGCAGACCTTCTTCAGAGACTTCATCAATATCCATTGCATTTGCTTCGTTGGCTAGTCATACCTTCTGTGGTCATTGACGATTATTTCTTCGTCAGTAGTAAACCAAGGAGATCACTTCTTTGGGCGCAGATGGACATCTGGTAGAAGTAGAAGGATAGGAAGCCAAACAGATTCAAAATTACCCTTGATCAAATGTTCGTGTTCTATGCAGCAATTCCTTACCTCTTATTCAGACAGCTTGACATGACAGTAAATAAGTCGTCTTGGCTCAAGGATAACTATCTGGAATTGTATTCTTCAAGAGGCCAAATCATGGTCGCATCTACAATAACTACCACTTTCCCCTGATTTCTTAGAGCCATAGGTGTTATTGAGTTATTGACAAACCTGTTCAACTTTCAAGGGGTAATTTGTTTCCAAGGCACAGGGTGTATTTCTTTAAACATTTGTTTCGTTTTAGATAGTTTTGTTAATCTACCGCCCGACATATCGCTAGGAAGTTCAGAAATAGCCTTTATCAAAAATTACAAATTGTCATGGCGATCTGCATTGCTACGGTTCAATCCGTTAATTTTCTTCCTTTGGAGGCTCAAGGCGGGATTTCTAGCTTCCGAGTAAGGCTGCCAAATTCATCTGTGAGGTTTCATAAATGATAACACAGGAGTAACTATAGTGGTCTTTCTTGCTGACGCTCTTGACAAAGTACTGAGAACATCGTGCGGCATTAGGAACCCGCAGCTGAATTCGACAGTGCTAGTTGCATATAGATCTTGCCTTTGGGGTTTAGTGACGCTTCCTTCGTATTTAATTTTATCTTAATATTTGACGATACGGCTGATCCTATTAGATTTTAGCAAATATGAACAAAGTCGGTGAACGGATATTACGATTTTAACAAAAAATGAAATTTGAAAAACCATTACCAGACCTATATTTATCTGAAATTTTCTCCTGATAATTACCGCAGGCACCTGTCACATAAAGGGCAGATGTCTCGACCTCGCCGTTACAACATTTTTTGAATGTCATGTGACGCTGGTCTGCAATACGTATAAGCATCCAAAGAACTCGATAACCCAAGACATCAGCAGATAGGTGTGGATGATGTGAATTCCATCATACCTTCTCTCACCTCATTATGCTCTTATTCAGTTATTATTACCTGGTATTTAAGCTAAATAAAGTACACAAATATCCAGGTTAATGTTCGTAATCAAAATATAAAGAAGCTGAAATTGCACGTTGCATAAACGCTGCTACTGGTAAATTTCAGGAACCGACAGCAGCGAAGACATTTTGGTCAGACGTGTAAAATGTGACTTCATTTTTAATGGAGTGCGTACTTAAGAGTAAATAAGGAAAAAACACCGACAAGTGTCTGTAATGAGTGTTAAGAATATATTAACATTTCAATCTCCAGTAGTACGTTACGGTGATTTAGGAAGATGTGTAATTCTTTGTGTTATACACACTTCGGTATTTCTTCATTTGGTTCTTTAAGATTCCGGATACGAAATAAACAATAAAATATAGGTGACCTATATACATACGACATAGATGTCGCCCACCATCATTAAAAGGACGACCTGTCAATCAGCCAGAGCCATTATCAAACCTGCTAGCAATGACAGTCTATGCAAAAATGCATAAATGAGCAAAGACAGAAATGAATATGTTTACTTTCTGACTCTGTAACCATGACCAACCGCGTACAACATTGTCTCATGTTTTTAGTAATCATTTTGATTCATCAGATGCTAGATATCAGAAATATTTATTATTTTGAAGGGTAATTGAAAAATACTGTTCCATGATTTATTTATTGATGTATATAATATTGATGATATAAATTAATTAGAACACATTTTCCTGGTTTTTGACCTAAGATTGTCCATATAACCGATTTTGACGTTGTTCCATAACTTTGAGAACAAACCCCGATACTACCAGAAACGCCCAGATATGCCTATTTATTTTAAATATATGTAATAGTAAGGCATAAGCCTTTGAACCCATGTACAAGTTATTCAACTTTTTTGGGACTACCTGTTATATGTATGTTGATGATCTTTTGCTGGCAGTTCCAGAAAATGAGATTGATCATGAATTGTCTTACTATAATGGTTATAATGAACACTTACAGTTTACTGCTGAACGAGAAAATACCCACAGCACTTATTTCTTAGATATGTTGGTGATTAGGGACCCTTTCAGTGATATTTTAAAACCTAGGTGGTATAGAAAACACATTAGTAGTGGTCGCTATATCAACTATTATTCGTATCACCACAAATGTGACTGAATTTGACTTTCGGCTTGAAGGGTAGAGAATCTTCGAGGGCCTTGAGAGATTTATTGGTTGAGAACTCATATCTAACTAAATGTATCAATGGTTTAGTTTTAGTACTCAATAACCTATTTACTCCTTTTCACAGAGGATAGTTATTAATAATGCTTATAGTTTACCTAGCATGGCCGCAAATAATACTAATAACATGTCTCCCCAACCTCAAGCACGTACAGTTTCCAATAATACTTTGATCTGCTACAAACCATTGCCTTAGATCCAAGACTTTACACCTAAACTCTTTAACTTTATTGTGAATTTAAACTTCAAATTTGCAATGAGAAATGTCTTGACATACATCACGAGATTGAAAGGTGAGATATTTGCAAACATTTCATTTTCTCAAGATTAGGTATTGGTTTTTCAATTGTTTAACATTTTATTTTCATCAGTTAATACATAGGTATTTTTGACAATAGCCATATCTGTAATTTCCTTTTTTTGCTGGATTCAGTCAACCGCCTAGTGTTATTAGCCTGGGTTTCCCTTCTTTTAAACTGAAAGTCTGTCTCTGTCTACTAAGCTACCATTAGAAATATTTTTGTTTTAAAGAATATATTTCTGCAACAATGTTCTCATTTATACTATTTGACGTTTTCATTATTAAACAATTTTACCTTCGTTTTGGTAATAGTCTACGACATATTTGCCTCTATCTTTGACCACTAGTATGTTTACAAATTTGCCTCCTTCCTATCTCCGAATGTTGTGCATATTGGGTGCTCATCCTGTTCTTTGGCAACATTGTATACAAGTGCTAGCTTTACTTCTTATCTCTCCAGAATTAAACTCCATATAAAGCTATGCCTCATCGCTACCAGCTAGAACAACCGCCATGCTTTTTTTTAATAATTCCTCTATAGAATAGTATCTATGGAACTTGCATAAATAAATTTTTAAAAACTCCATTAATGATCTTAATAATGATTACTTTTCCATATTGTTGTTGTTGATGTTATTCCTCGTTTTTTGACATTGCTCGCCCTGAAACGTGGTAAGTAGTTTTTTTATTGATAGTGTAATGGGTTTTGTAGGTCAATCAATATTTTTGCAGCACGTTCTGAAGATTAAAATAAACAATTTCCAAAGCAACACAGAATTTTTTTTCTGGCTTCCTTTTCGATTGCGTTACGCCAACAACTCCAAGATTTATATTTTGCGTCTTAACTGGACAGCGGCCCCTCTTTAGCAAGCATCAGTACAGTATAGTTATAAGCTAGACCTGCTAACTTCATGATTTTTTTGAGTGGTTGAATATTAGTGGTTGGTTGTGGGTGGTTGTAAATACCTAGTCTATGTTCTATACATTTCTTACTGAAACGAAAACTCGTACTCGAGCGAACGTATCAAGTCAAGTTTTCATTCCATCTGAACCTGAATAACGTTTGGGAACACTATCTCTCTGAATCTTAAAAATCAAGATCAGGACATACCCTCATATGAAGTTTTCTTTTAAGTAAACAAAAGAATCGATCTGTTGAATTTACTTTCGAACCATTTTACTAGTAAAAGTATTGTAAAAAAATTCTATCAATGAGTTCTCCACATTGGTCAAATACTATCTCTGTGGACCTTTTAATCGTAAAACAGAAGATCGTGCCTTACCTTGACAACCATAGCATAATATTTATACTCAGCTCAAAGAGAGATCCACCTAAAAATACAGGTACACCTTGTACATCAAAGGAACCGTTCTTGTTCTAGATCTAGATGAATAATCAGTGAGTAAACAAATCATCTTGGGATGGTATCGGCATGGAATTCGTGAAAAGGTTATTACATAACCACTATTTTAGACACGAAGGGAAAGTAGCATCATATTGAAGCCTATTGTGACCCCATGCAAATACATAACGTTTATATACCAAAGATTTGATTATATAATTTTAATGTATAACTTAGTAAGACGATAAGGCTCCAATGCGGAAATACAATGAATGTCGATCTAAAATGACATGTATTGATAATGAGGCTGATTAAGGCTGAATCACGTTCTGCAATAGATACTCATTATGATTATAATATTACAGTAAGGAGTAAGAGTTTGTGGATTAAGCAATCAGAAGAACTGACGACACTCGGTACTTGGATTGAATTGTGTGGTAACGTCTGTAGCATTTATGTTACATCCATATTATAATAGTTTGAAAACAGAAATAATAGTAAATAACGATATTGGTGTAAGAAAAGATCTATCCTCCGATATGATCAGAACATACTTAACAACCGAAACTCGTAGCTGACCGGATTTAACCATGTCGACTCAATAATGTGCAGATATCATATCAGTTGTATATTCCTTGAAAAAACATGGCAGGTGACTTCTGACTACTATTATTTTAAAGTATACTGTTTGGAACTCTTGTATTCACCGCAGATTTATTTATCCTTTAGATTGGTATTAAGTGCGAGAAAGTAAATGCATTACATTAACTGATAATTTGATAAAAGCTTCCTTACTCACTGCAGATTATTATGAAGCAATGTAGTTCAAGTACCCTGGTGACATTATTGTTTTACTAATACGAGACAGATCAGTTCAAAGAATTATTTACCCCAGAAGGAAACTTAATGGGTGAGCGGACCATTTGTAACAATATAAAATATATCCAACCTGTGATTGTAACCGACTCAAAAGCTAAGACGGAAATGCTCCCAACTCCATTATGGTTGGCTCCTCCAACGCCCGAGTGACCTCGATTCAACACTACACTATGCTGGGAGTAACATATAAGACCGTAGGACGGGTGCTCTTGTTGCTCGACATCAACAAAGCGTCTGATCCGGACTTGACTCCTGTTGTTGGACCCAAAAGATGTGCAGCAGAGCTTGCTCCACTGCTTTCGCTGTGTCTTTCAGATATCTTGCGAATCCGACAAGTTCCCAGGGAAGAGGAAGTTTGCTTATATCCAGCACATCCCAGAAACAGGATTTAACATCGACCCTTACAACTTGCTAAAGGCCTTATAGCTGGCGTGATGAAGAGGTGCAAGAATCGGGAGCTTCTGAAGTACTTAGAACATCACGGCTTGATTAGCCACAGGCAGTATGTTTTCCGGCAGCAACTATCCACGTGGTACCTCCTGGCTTACGTCACGCAACTGTGGAGTAAACTCATCCAGCCATATGAGCTCGTGTCGTCGGTATTGATATCTCTTGAGTCCTCTATAACGGAGCAAAGGGTCCGGCTGTTGCTCTGTGCACCGGTACCCTGGTGCGGGGTGCCCTCATTCTGCATGCGTTAGGTCTTTTGTTGTGACACAACGG